GTTACATTTGCTTATGTTGCATTTGTTTATGTAACTATATGTTGCACTTGTTTGTGCTGCATTTATTTAATTACGCAAAGATGTGTCACTGTTTCAGCTTGCCTGCCTAAGGCTCCTGATTGGTCTAATAAAAAGCTGAATGGCCAATAGCTAGGCAGTAGTGGGATAGATGGACTGTCAGGAACAGAAAATAAATAGGAGGAATACTAGAGAGCAGAGAAGAGAATGAGGGAGACAGAGAGGGAAATGATTGGGGCCATGGGCAACTGCCAGCCAGCAACCCTGAGTAGGACATACAGAATGAAAGAAAGGTAAAAAGCCCCAAGGGTAAAAACATAGGTGAAGAGAAACAAATATATAAGAGATACATACAAGATTTTATAAGAGCTAGTGGGACAACCGTAAGATAAGACCGAGCGTTTACAACTAACAATAAGTCTGTGTCATATTTGGGAGCTGGATGGTGGCCCCAAAGAAAGCCTGCTACAGACAGTAAGCTGGTAGTAATGACTATCTTCTTGCCTCTGGTGAGTAGAACACCAGGAAATAAGGTCAGGGAAATAATTTGTTTTTCATTTTATTCTGTTTTATGCACTTTGATTATTTTAAACACATACACTTGAAATTAAAAATAGTGCCGCCAAGGCCGTCGTTATGGGAGAGAATCCCACAAGGAAATGACAGCACAGGGGCACGTGAAGAACGCTGCAAAGAATCTGCAAAGCCTGAAGGAAGCAGGAAGCGGGCTGCCAAGAACTGTGCCTGGAGTCAGGGAGGCCTTGTGAGAATGGGGTCCCTCTCATTAGTTCTTGCCAAGTGCTTGGGAGATCCAGAATGGTGGTCAAGGTTGGGTTGATGTGCTATTCAGGCCTGAAGAGCTTCGGTGCCAACCAGGGAGAGCTTGGACCGGGGGAAGCCCTTGCTCGGCCCACTGACACTGGATCTGGACTGCTGATTCCCAGAACTAGAAGACGGTGAATTATGTTAAGGTGTCAGGACTGTGTCATTTGTTACAGCAGCCACGGGAACCTGATACAGAGAGGGAAGCTGTACTTCTTGTGCTGAGACAGCAGGAGCCAATAAGCATACGGCATCAAGTTGAGGAGCAATGCCACTAAATTGCATTTTTAAAAGGTAACAGATGGTGTCTTTTAGAATGCAGTGAGATGGCAGGAAACAGAAGCAAAGGAGTTACAGGAGGAAACCACTTAAATGGTGTTCTTATTGATATAAGAAGCTATACAGATTTGTGGATACAGCATGATGTGTTGACTGATGCGTATTATGTATGTGCCTGATGTATGTTTGATGCGATAATCAAAGCAGGGTGATTAGTATATCCATCACCTTAAATTTTGATCACTTATTCAGGATGAATACACCCAAATGTTCTCTTCTAGCTGCTGAGAATACGCTAACACTACGGTTAACTATATTCACCCTACTGTGCAATGCATATCAGGACTTAATTTCTGCTATTACAGCACAGTATATACCAGTCTCTCACTCTCTCTCTTCCCACCCCCTTTATTCTCTTCAATCTGAATTATTGCCATACCAATTGATATTGTAAACTCAGCCTTGAGAAAATGCAAAAGAGGAGGCCTGTGTTGAGAAAATATCTAGGTAGGGAAGAGGTCACAGCTTCATATGGTTGAGTGCAAAGAATCAGAAGTACCAAGACTCTCTCCACATTAATTTTTGTGCCTTACATGGGTTCAGAATCTAGTGGCTACAGGGAAGCCAGGTGTTGGTCATTGGAGCGTCTAGAGAAAATGCAGGTATTAATCTTGACTTGAACATTCAGTGGCAATGAAGTGCCAATTCTTGGAGGAAATGAATGATTCTGGGGTGGGAGCTGAGGATCCAGATGGAACTCATCCAACATGGGCAAAGAAGGAAGCAATAGCAAAGATGAAGTGAGGCTGGAAAGGTGACTCGTTGAGTAAGAGCATCTGCTACTCTTTCAGAAGACTGGAGTTCAGTGCCTAGCATCCAAATCTGGTGGCTCACACTCACAACCACCAGCAACTCCCGCTCCAGGCAATCTGATGCTCTCTTTGACACTTTGGGAACTGTCACACCTCTGCCCCACCCCAAACACACACACAGAGAGAGAGAGGGGGGGAGATAGCAAGAAGGAGAGAGAGCAAAGGAGGAAGAGAGAAGGAGAGAGAGAGAGATTGAGGGAAGGAGGGAGGGAAAAATAAATCTTCCAAAAATGAAAGCTTTGCATGATCCTTATATATGCAAATGATTCCTTTAAAGGAGTGAGGGCAAAGAGGATTCAACTAAAGGTTAAGGACATAGAAAGAGACTATGAACAGAACAGCAATAGGAACATGATGGGAAGAGACGAGTTTTAAGGAGTGGCATGATGATAGAAAAATCTATAAATAAGACAGATGGAATGGTCATAGAATAAATGCTAGTGACACTGATTAAAAAGTCCTTGAGTTTCTCCTGCTCCAGTGCTGTTTAAAAAAACAAACAAACAACTGGAAGAGTGGAAATGAAGTCAGTGAGAGGAAGCAGAGGAATGACACGAAAATTCTAAAGAAATTTATTGAGAATGTATTTAAAGTAAACAGTGGTTAAAACACAGGGGGCTCACGTTTATGAGAAGATGAGTTTTCAAAGACTCAGCATTGGGAAAGAGAGCATTCAGTGGCTGCAGAGATTGTAAAGGCTTAAAAGGACATAATTAATGAGCAAAAGGTAAGATGGACCAAGACAGCTGGCAGCCAAACCAAAGGTGGAGAGGTTGGTCTGAAACAGAAGACCATCCTGTTTTCTGAGCTCAAGGGTAAAGGATAATGAGATAAGACACAGGCATCTTTAGATATTTATATATGGGGACAAAGGGTACTGGAAAACTCTATTTATAATTGTGTTCTTTTTTGTGAAAAAGAGAGAAACAAAGGGAGAAGAAAGGAAAAGAAAGTGATCAAGTTTAATTTTAGAAATAAGAAATAGAGGCATATTTTTTCCCATGGGTCTCCAAAAGATTCATGTAGAGATATTTAATAAAAAATGGTATCATGAGAAGTAAACCCTACTGCATGAAGAGCCGCCCTCTAAAGATCCAGCCTAAAACACGCATCTCTAAGTTATCATCAGTCATATGTGAGTAATGCTGAGTGCCTACAGCGATGCCCACAGGTCCATGCCAGAAGGGCTTTTATACCCATGACAACCACCTCTATCATCACTGGCAACAATTGCAAGAAACAATAGCAACAACAGGAATGACAACAAATGACTGTGTTTTAGAGTAAAGGGAGATCGATGCCCAGTTTAAAATTAGGAACCCAGGCCTGGAGGGATGGCTCAGCCATTAAAGGCTAGGCTAACAAACAAAAATATTAAGAACCCAAACAAACGACACAACAGATGAATCCTATAGCTTCCAGAGAAGTCTCAAGAATGGGAGGCCGCAGGGTGAACGTGGGTAATGGCCCCTCACAACGCTTACAAGTTCGGCATAGCTGAAGTAAGCCAAAATAATTGAATACTTTTTAATGTAAATACCAAGCAGGAAGCTACATAGATCATAGTTCTTTAAACTCAAGTCAACAGTTGGAGTGTGGCAAAGCTGCATCCTGAGTGGCAAAAGAGGCTTCTCATCAAGGGAAGCAAGGTGCAATGCCAAGGCTTTAACAAACCTCCCTACTGGGCTCAGAGTTTCTCTTAAGGACAGCACTGTGCCTGGAGAGATGCATCATGTAGAGTCAGGAGCTTAGAGCAAGGTCAGATGTTCATCTCCCAGAAATCGCAGGCCTTGGCAATCCCTGAGACCCTGGCAGGCAGGAGGAGCAAAGGATTCAGCCTTGTGATCCAGTGCCTGGGCTCTGGAACGGAGACTTCAGAGAGTTTTGCCAGCTGGAACTGATCTTATCTACATCCACTTACATTACACCGTTCTCCTGACAAATTGGAATCAGAATATTGTTCAGATTCCAAAGCTTGAGAAGCCTGAGGTTGAAGCCTCTATGACTTCAGAGGACTCTGGTTTAGGGGGATATTCCTTCAGCCATTGTGACTCAGAGATTAATCTCTTGGTCCTGAAGAAAGACGCTAGCCAGAAGGGAATCCGTCATAATTCTGCCTCCTGTTGAACAAGGCAACTGGGCGGTTGTATGGAGAACACAGAAGCACGACCACTCAGGCTACAGACATAATTATTCTTTTGGTAGCACTGTTGATAGTAAAGAGGCTCTGGTCTCAAAGAAAGTTTTGATTCATAATCGATAAGATGTCCCATTTCTTGAATTTCACTTTCAAGACTTCCCCAAAATTAGCAGCTTGCACATCCATAACCAGCTCTCATCAGAGTACCATGCAGATTGGATCAGGAGGAAGTCCGAGAATGGCAATGCTAAATCCGTCTTGATGTGATTAAAAATACTTAGGATGGCACCACTACTGTACAGCAAAGGGGCTTCTGGTCAGTCACTTGCTGGTCAGATAGTGGGAACCAAGATTTATTTTTAAGTCTGCCACCCAACACTTAAGACAGTTCTTCAAAACACAAATCAATAGGGAAAATGGAAAATAAACCTAAGTATAGTGCAAGATAGAATGAGAAGGGACTTAGTCTGTCATTCCCGTGAGAGGTTAAGAGGCAGTATGTTGGTGGTGTTGTGGGTAAATGGACTGGAACCTTCTCCTCCTTCCCTCCTATTTCATAGCAGCAGCATGGATGGCATCTGTCACCTTTTAGTGGTTGGCACACTATATAGTATATACAGAATAAAACTCTAGAGTAACTAACACAAAGAACACACACCTGTGGTCTCATCCTCCATCCTCTCATATCCTCATTTTGAGATTTGAGTTTAGCAACCTGACCTGAGACATTTCACAGAGAAGCCCACAGAATTTGGGGAACTATGAATTAATCTTTTTCCTTTGGAACCTCTACCTTTGACCATACAGATTGCTGGTAGGCCAGCAGGACTCGCACAGGTGTAGAATTTGCCACTGAGCCACCCACTCACCTTTACTGATGTCTTCATATTCTAGCCAGAGTCGCCGTTGAACTTGCTTGTTTGGGTACCATATAGAACAGGATTCCTCAAAGCCATAGACAGCTTCCTGGATGTAATGGTTGCCAAACTGATCCAAGAAAGCCACGAAATCTGCACGAGATGTGGCCCCATCCAAGGAGTGGAGCGCATTGCTGAAGGCTGTGGGAGAATATCACCCAGGAGTAAACAAATAAGGATGGGAACTCAGAGATTAGGTACATGGATTCCTAGGCAACCTGGTCCCAAATGTGAGCATGTAACCTCAAGCGATGTTTGAGAGCTAGCTAGGAATAATATGATGTGTTTCTGTTTAACTGAAATAAAAGTTTAGGTGCCGAAGTAGGTATCTTTTCAAGGATGTTGATTGTGCTGTTAATTTTAGGCAAGTTAAGCAGAGGAGCGCAAATCCTGACTCCTGCCATCATTAAGTAAATGGCTTTGTGTCCCCTAAAACTGCAGTGCATGACATTAAATCAATTTAGTCAGGTTAATTAATAGCATTTTAAAAATAGAAAGGGAATAGCATAGTCTAAAATAGAAACATAAATACTAGCAAGGAACATTCCACATCATAAGATGAAGTATTGTTTTATGGTGTATGTATTGTGTGGATGTGGGTGTGGGAAGCACGGGGTCATAAAATAAAATATATCTCGTGGGCAGACACTATGATGGCTAATACTGCCAACTTGACACAAACCTAGATATACTGAGAAGAAAAAGTAATAATTGAGCAAATGTCTTCATAAGATTCACCTATAGGCAAGTCTGTTGGGCATTTTCTTGATTGCTGGTTGATTTGGGATGACCTAGCCCACTGTGGGTGGTGTCAAGCCTAGGCAGGAGGGTTTGAGTTGTATTAGAAAATGGTATGAGAAAGCCATCCAGGAGCAAGTTAGTATGTGGCATTCCTTCATGGCTTCTGCTTCAACTCCTTCCTGGAGTTCCTGTCTTAACTTCCTTCAGTAATAGACTGGTAATGGGAAAGTGTAAGACAAAAGCAAACAAACAAAAAACAAAAAAAGAACCCTCTTTCCTCGTAGAGTTGTTTTTGGTAATGGTGTTTTCTCACAGCAATAGAATAATCGTCTGAGACAAGGTAGGAGGACACATCCTAATTCTGGGCAGTACTGTTTCAGGGGCGGGGAGACTGGACAGAGTACAAAAGAAATGCCAGTTGAACACCAGCATTCACCTCTCTCTTCTTTCTAATCCTGCCACCACGCTTTCTCTATCACGGATGTGAGCCAAAATAAATGCTTCCCTCCTTAAGTGATCCATGTCAGTTATTCTGTCAGAGCAATGAGGAAACAAAGGAAAGTAGTAAGGAATTCAGGAACCAAAACTGTTTGCAAAACATGTTGACTAAGAACTGGGTAATGAGAGATAATGGAAGGAAAGAGGTTAGAAAGGTCACAGAAACAATGCTTGTATTTTATTTGAGAAAAACCAATGGTAAAGGAACGGGGAAACTTTGAGTAGAAGGACCCCATAAGCCTCCTCATTTGTCAACTAACTCAAATGTCTTTATGGCTTCTGTCAATCTTTAAGACTTACGGGAGAAAATAGTCTATAGTAAACTTTCCCGAATCTAATACTTTATCTGGCCAGCTCTTTTCAACCCTCCTTTCTAAACATCTGTGTCCTCCCAGGGCAAGGTGGAGTCTAACCCAATCATGAGATGTTAAGTACCAAGGTCCACATCACTTGTGACAACATTTTGTGACTTTGATAGGTCTCTGGTAATAGAAACACCTGAGTCATCTACCACTGCAATGCCCAGCATCTGTGCTAGGTGCAAACTGAGTCTGGGCGGAGTAACTCCTATTGCAGTGGTTTTTGAGAGTGAAAAGTGGCTTCATTTTCTACATAATCTGTTTTTGAGGTTTCCTTCAGCATCATTCCAATCCCTTCTCACTAAGAAATCTGTCAAATAAAAAAGTCAAATTTTTAGATCTTTTGGACCCTGCGGAAATGTTCTAAAAAGTTTGCAATAATGTTGTGCCCAATAAGAATGTTCTAGATCTCTAATATTTTCCAATTCATGAAGCATTTTTTTTATGAGTATAGGCTTCATTTTTATCATAAGTCTTTATGGTCAATCACCTTTTTTCAACTGTCCCTGAGACTCCCAGCCTCTGTTCGCTGACTCTAAGACCCTAAATAAGTTTACAAGTCACCACTCCTTAAATTATTAAAGTATATATGTATTTCTACATATCATTCCATTCTATATAACACACACTATTATATGTAGTTAAAGATATATTTCTTTGTTGCTTTCTATTATACTTGTTGTTTAGGAAATATGTTGTTTCCTTTTTTTTCTTCTTCCCTCCTTTTAGCTCCCTTTTCTTCAGATCATCATATGAAATCTTTCAATTGTGTTTTTGTCCTTTCAAATTTTTTTCTGACAATTCATTAAAAGTCTACTTTTAAAAACTACTCTGGTAATATTGTATGACCCCAGGAAAAGTGATATTTTCATTGGTTTCTGCCTTGCGTCTTCTATAGTATAGGATACCCCTTGAATTTAATCTGTGCTTTAAAAAGAATCTCTTTCTATCCATTTGCCCTGAAGAGTGAATCTGAGTGTGTTGGTTGGTGTCTCATGCAGTGGTTGTGCGCTAGGCTGCTTCTGCAATGCTGAGCTGAAGCATCCCTTCGGAAAGGAATCCCCAGGCCTGGTGGAAGGCGGAGGTGGGGGCTGGCTGTAGTGTTTGCTCACCCTGAGAGACGGCTGCTTGATTGAGTTTGATGTGGTACATCACAGACCGAACCTTCCAGTGCTGTAGTACAGGGTAGCCAGACACTTCACTGAAGTTCACCATCCCTGGGGACAGAGGAGACAAAAGGTCAGCATGTGAGACTGACTCGCAAGTCCCAGGTTGAAAAGCATGACCCAGTTCAATTAGGCTAAGGATGTACTAGTGAGGAAATTAGGAAGTGCTCTTTGATGAAGAGACTCTCTGGAAGCCTGGTTGTAACAACCATCGCCTATCGAATTCTTGCTCTCTGTCAGGCATTTTGCTAAGTACTTTGTATATGTTAAGCCATTTGATCCTTGTGCTGTAAGTGTTAACATCTGCACCTGCCAAGTGAAGACACTGAGACCCTGAGTGTTTATATGCAAAGTCCCCAAGAGACTAGGTAAGACAAGGTGGGGTCCCAAATGTGCCTGAACCCAGAACCAGGCTCCTTACTCATTCTGTTGCAATATCCAAATAATACATTTATAGTCAACTCTAGACTTACTGTATTGTAGCAATTTACTCAGCCAACACAATCTGTAACATTGATTTTTCTGTCTCAATTAACTGATTTATAGTTGGTATTTACACTTTAATTATTCTGAGGCTGATAATGCTTATCTCTTCTTTACCAGAAGGGACACTGCCAGGGTAACTAAGTCATTAAAGGGTAGTGACAGACAAATAGCGAGTGCCACCTATATGTCAGGCAATAGCATACACATTTAAGGTTCCCCTTTACCTATGAAAATCCAGATTCTGAAAAGCAAAGTCTGTTGCCCAAGGTCCGCTCAGCACATGCCTTCTTAGGGCCTTTGCCTGCTCTTCCTTAAGAGCTGAAAAAGTTCCCCTATTTGAATTCCAGTTAATTCTATAAATATATAATTCCACAGAAACAAAATAAATAAGCCACAGGAAATAAAATAAAGACTTCCCAAGTTTGTAAAAAAACAAACAAACAATTTTAGCTTCATTTCTGTTATATATACACACATATTATATATGCATATATGCTACAGAAATGTATATGTGCACTTATACATGTGCATATATGTACACGTGCACAGTACATAAAGGAAGTATATATATATATGTATATATATATATATATATATAACAGGATATATAGACTGTGGGTGCACCAATATGGCAATGGAACAGACAAACACAGTCAATTCTTCCGTTCTTTTGGCTTTGCTTTTTGAGACTAAATCAACGAACTTAATACCAAAACTGAATGAAGAGTGGGCAGGATTAATTAGCTGCTTGTCAACTCTGATCAAATTGGGCGAGTAATTACCAAATTTCCATTTCTGTGTGAATCATATGGGAATAATTATTGGTAAGGTAAAAAGAAGAAAGGTCAAGCAAAGTTGCTTCGTGAAGCAACTGCTTAAATTTTGCTCAGGTAATCAAGAGAAGCTTCATGTGATAAAGAGATTTTTCACTGGTTCTGTTCAAGTGTTCCGCTTTCAAGGTATAAAGCTCTGTGATGACAGCCATACGACTGCATACTTTGGCTTTTGACCTTTGTGTTGACTTCAAAGGCACACAAATGAAACTCAAGCTTAACAAATGGAAGATTTCATTATCTTAAAGGCACAACTCATTAGCACAGAAAACGTATGGCAGTGGAAAGCCATTCTAATGCAGTGTCCACAGCAGCACATCCATTCTGTTGCTATCTGAAAATGCCTATTTATAAAACAAGTAAAGATCGTCAACATATGACGGGGAGGGGACAAGTGGTGGGGTAGTTTCAAATCTCTTTAACTGAACTGTGTCCTAGTCAGTAGACAAGAAGCCAGGCGACCTGGGCTCCGTGGTGTTTTTACAGCTGGAAGTTTCAGAAGGAAAGGTACGTTAGTGAGTGGTGTGGGAGAATTGTCTGTATTCTGTCAATCATGTTTTAAATAAACGCTGATTGGCCAGGCAGGAGGTGTAGGTGGGAAAACCAGACAGGAAGTGGAAATGATCCAAGGAGAGCAGAAGAATTCTGGGGAAGAGGAAGTTGATTCCTCCCTCTTCTGCCCAGATCACCGAAGCAGCAGGATGTGAGCTGCCCCACTGAAAAAGGTACTCAGCCATATGGCTAACATAGATCAGAAAAATGGGTTAATCAAGATGTGAGAGTTAGCAAGTAAGAGGCTAGAGCTAATGGGCCAATCAGCTTTATAACTTATGGAGTCTTTTGTGTGATTTTCTTTTTGGGGATAAACAGCTGTGGGAACCGGGCAGGACAGAAAAACACAAACAAGCCAGCCCCCCTCATGTTACATTAGTGTCTGTCGCTTTTTCTCCACACAACCCAAGTAGCCTCTGTTTGGCTACCTGGCTATGGGATATTTTGGTTCCTGGGTGTTTAATCTGCAAAATCAGAGGCCTGGATGAAATATCTTTGGATTTCCTTTTCAATTCTGGGATTTCATGTAGCTGTACAAATGACTTTGGGCAAGCAATGCAAGCATTTCTGTTTTCAGATCTGAAAAGAGGGACTGAGTGCATTTATCCCAATTACTACACAGGTAGGTGGTGAGAGTAGAATAAAATCATGAGCATAAATCAATTTTTGGGGAAAATAAAGAAGCACATCCATGCATGTCCCGATGACATTATCATCTTTCTTTTCTCCCTCCTTTCTTCCCTCCCTCCTTCCCTCCCCACCTCTCTCTCCCTCTCTCTCTCTCTCTCTCTCTCTCTCTCTCTCTTACTCACACACACACACACACACACACACACACATCACCCATACATATGTAAACTTGACATTTCTTAACTGATACATTGCTGTGACTTTATAGACTTTATTTCAGTACAATGTGGAATAATAGTGTCTCACCTTTACCCAGAATGAGTTACCTAGACTTGGGTATTTAACAGCCAAACACAATTCCAGTGACTATTCTTAGGCCCCATTGCAGTCAGAAGAGTGGTTACATAATGGTTAATGCTTGGAAAGTGTCTGCTTATCCCTACTTACAGATAATTCTTCCCTTGGTTACAAAGGAAGGATAAAGTACATAATTTCTAGCCGAGTCGTGTTTCTTTCTCAGTGTGTCCTTGACATGCAGTCAGGTTTATTCTATTATCATCTTCGAACACATTTATACCAAATGGATTCTTTTTCCAAACAAAATGTCTCTGGCTCTGTTTTCTTGAGAATGGATGTTGTTTTTTATTTTATATTTTTAACCTATGCTTGAGACAGAGTTGCCAAACATACCTGTGTATAATTTGAAAAGAGAAGAGAAGGAGAGAGGAGGGACTAAAAGAGAAACACAGAAGAAGGGAGGGGAGGGAAATCGAAAGAGTGTACAAATGGACAGAAGACAGAAAAATACGGAAGTGGAACTCTACCCCAAATCTACAGCAGCTGCTTAGAAAACTATCCCATCAACCCACTGTCTCTACTGACCCATCCAGAAAGCAAACCTAAAACCCACAAGTCAGGGTGTGGAAAGCCAGACCCTCCCTAGCACACTTCCCCAAAAGCCTAATGGTTGTCCCCATAACAATTCCATCCAACCACCCAGGATCTTATTAAAGATTGAGTATCTAATGCATCCTCCTAGCCAGTGACAAAGGTTCCTGTTAGCTTGCCTACAGTATTCCCAAGTCAACAGCTGGCAACCCCACCTGTGACCTTGCCATTTCTCATCGTGAAGATTTCCCACTTTCCATTCTACCTTTGAGACAGTGCCAAAACGCACACGATAGCTGCTCTGTTCTTGCTGTCGCCAGCCGGGAATAGATAGCCGTTAGCTGTTTTCATTTGGCTGGCCTTCCTTCACTTCCGTGCAACCTGTGACTATGGCGTGACCTGGGAAGCTTAACTGCTATTCTGAAGCAGCCAATGAAGATTTATAAATCAGCATTTCCAGTGTGGTATTTAATAATTCCTCCAGATGGTCTGTGTGCAAAGGATTCTCTAGTTAAATAGGATTGGGAATTGCCGGGTTAAATAAAGTGGAAGGGATTTCCCGCCTGCAGGCTTTCTGATATTAAGGTGGTGGGAAGGACTGAGAGGATGCCCCATGCAGTTTTCCCGGACATATCTGAAGTCAGAACTGCTTTATGAACAGAACTTGGATTTTTCATGAAAAAAAAAATAACAAAGCAAGAAATGCTTAGAAATGCTGAGACAGACAATTCTGAAGATCACTTTAGCTTTAAAACCCTTCAAGCTTGCAGGCTTGTGAGGATTATGACCCATAACAACACGGAGTGTGACAGGACACGCGATTCACTGTGTCGCTGCATGGAAAGTTATCACTAAAGTGTTACCAGGACTGGCCGGAGAAGATGGAAGGCATTTGGTCAGTCGCTTCTTTCTCAGTCCTTCTAGTGATTCTGGGTTAAAGACATAAGTGAAAGAGTTTCCTTTTTGCTTAAATTACAAAAGGACACTAACTGGGACTAACTAACTCTGCTTACCCAAAACAGGTTACAAACAGGATAGAAAAGCCGCCAGGTCAGGAAGCTTTCACTCTATCTGGGAATTAGGCTGATTAGAAGGACCTCAACTTGTCATTTTAAATTTTAAGGCACATAAAGAGGGGACCAGGAGCATAGTGAGTAAATTTAATTCTGTGTGGCAAAGAACGTAATTGAAGATTTTCCTTATCTCAAAGATGTGGATTCAAGTACAAGTGCTTCTGATGCCTCAGCTCTATCTCCTTCACTCCTGAAATGCTGCTCACATCATCCTAGGCTGTTCTGGGCATCTTCCTAGTCTGGTCATTGCAGGACAATCTTCCCTTTCAAACTAAACCACGGATGTGGGGTGCGGCTGGTGGGTCTTTAAGCAAGCATCTCATTAGAAGCCATTAGAAGCATGGAACTTTCCTCGTTTGTAGGTGCCAGTCCCCAAGCCTCGTTTTTAGATGCACACACACACACACACACACACACACACAGAGAGAGAGAGAGAGAGAGAGAGAGAGAGAGAGAGAGAGGGAGAGGAGTGCTTCTTAGCAAACAAAATGGAAGTGATGTTGGAGACCTTTGCTTTTCAGGAAGCACCCCTGAGTCTACATGTTAATCCTGTGTGTGTGTGTGTGTGTGTGTGTAGTCAGAGCTTTCCACAGGCAACTGATTTTTGATTTGAAAAGATTCCTTGAAGGACCACAATGTATATATTTTTCATTATTATTTTACACTGCTTCCTTTTCTGCTATAGAGAAGACACATAGAAGATGTGACCAAGCTTTTGATATTGAGACATGACATTGTTGAGAAACAACGTCATCATCTACAAAGTTCATGCTCAAGAAATGGGATACAAGAAAGAAAGAAAGAAAGAGAGAGAGAGAGAGAGAGAGAGAGAGGGGGGGGGGGGGGGGGGGGGGGGGGGGGGGGGGGGGGGGGGGGGGGGGGGGGGGAGGGAAGAGGAAGGAGGGAAGGAAGGAAGGAAGGAAAACCACCAAAACTATCTCATGGTGTTTTAAGTAAGCGTATCGTCTTGTGCTAGGTCACACTTACCACCACATGCAGCCACAGGTTGCACATGCTGTACAGAACTTTTCATTGGGGATTTTATTTAGTTAACAAACACAAATGCAACAATGTGTTAGGAATCACATTCATTAGTGTTAGTCTTTCATATAAATTCTATGAGGAAGACAGTGTTATAACACACTTTTTTTAAAAGTAAAAGAAACTGAAGCACAGAGAAATTAAGTAGCTTGTCCGGAACCTAGACCAGTGAGGAGCAGATTCCAGCTGCCAGGCTCCAGGCCCACGCTAATAATTATTATGCTTCTTTAACCCCTGGTATCTGTTGAAGGCTTTTGTTCAATAATTCATTAAAAAATGAAGGAAAAGAGGCAGAAAGTGTAGAATAAGAAAGACAGAGTGATTGAGTAGAGGGATAATGAAGAAACAAGCACAATCAATGAAATTGAGCTCGTGCGTGTTGCTCTAGTAAGGATTGCCAAATCCCAAGTACTGATTTCTAGGGTTTACAGGGCTCCTGAAGCCCCTTCTTAGCTCACAGAGGATCTGTCCAGAAGCCAAGGCCCAGAAAGAAATGGCCTACCCTCTGGGTCCCGCCTCTGCTAATGGAGCTACATCTCTGTCCTGTATAGGTCAAGAGACGCAGCCATGGAATGAAGAACAGAGAGGCAGGATTTATTGTCCTCCTCGCATGAGGAGGGATCAAGAGCCTCTCACGCAACAGAGCTAGATTCAAGCACAGGGTCACTGGACAACAGAACTCCGGAAGCCTCAGTCTTATCTCTGTGCTCCAGAAGTTCTCTGCAGGGAACTCAACCGCACTATTAATGCACATTGAGGGGATAGGAGTGCTCCATCTTCTCTCTGCTCCATGATCTACATACCTCTAATCCAACCAAAACCCTGGATGCATATGCATCCATTGTGGCATTCCCCCTGCCCCCGAAGAATTTCTATAAAATTTAGCAAGAGAAATATATATAATCACAGCCATTGTGTAGTAATCATATGAGAATGTTAACAATTTTACTGATAATTAATCCTAATAATGTTTGATCTTATAACCACTTGTTCATGCTTGAATGAAACGACTGACTTAGAAATAAAGACGAGCGTAGTCAAATGAGTGCCATGATTTTAAGAAACTATGGGTTTGGCTTCATAAGGGATGGCACACTTACCAGTCAGGAAATCAGGGTCAGGGGTGGGCTCCGAGATTTCCTCTAGGCACTGGTTCTCCAGTGGGACTGTGGCGACCACAAGACCATCTGGCAGTTGCTGGTCTAAACCACGAGCAAAGTTGTTTTGTCTAGAAACAGAGCAGACCTTCGCTTTCCGAGTGTCCATGGAACTCCTCAGCATGCAGTCCATATTTCAACCCACAGTGCCAAAGGTCTTCCTGCTCCAAAAGTCATGCCTCACCTTGAGACTCATTTGGTACATATGACACAAGTCAGGCTTATGCATAAGGGAAGTAAGGGCAGCAGAGAGAGGCAAACCAACTGGAAAAGTCTGTAGTCAGGGTAGAGAACATTTCCCCCCACCCCAGGTTTCCATTCTGACTTCCCCTCTACAGATAGCAACACTCTGGGTTGCATGCGTAGAACACAGAGAAGGCTCTGGCTATCACAAGATCAATTCTGATATCACATTTATTGCCCTGGAAACCCAATTCCATTGATGAAAATGGAAAATGCTTGCAAAGTCTCTTGGCCATGACAGAAACTGGAGCTTGGTATAAGAACTACCTTGGAAATTTGCCCCCAATTTGTTCCTAAGAGCATAGGCTTAGATTGCTACCAGGTTGTGTTTTATGTTAGAACACTGACATCACCATTTTCATAATCATCACCATCTCATGAAAAGCAAATTTTGATAGCTTCTAAGAAATTTCAAATAGCACAATGAAGAAAATGTACGAGGGTCAAATGGAGAATCTCTCATAGATTTTTCTAAATAAATGGTTCAAAAGGTTTTGTCCTCAGGGGTGCTTTAATATCATCAAAATAATTAAATACTTGGCCATGATCGTAAACGTCAATATTTACCATGTTAGAAATTTAAAGAGAAAATTTAACAATTCCTATTAAAATACCAATAAACACATTAAGTATCAGCCTGCCTTATGGGAAAAGGGCACTGGCATTATTTTATATTTTTAAATGTATGACTTAATAGAAGACAACTGGATTCTCACAACTGAATCCAACCTATTATAACATGTTATTTTACTTGAAATATAAGAAAGAAATTTAGCTTTCTAAAAGGTAGGACCTCAGTACTCCTTGAAGGTCCAGCAAAATCAATTCTCTTGAGCACCCTTTGAGGACGGCCATCCTAGGTCCACTCATGAGCCAGGTCTTAAGATTTGGAAGTCAAAGGGAACTTGAACATTTTGGGGAGGTTTCAATGTGAAGTCTTGAAGGTAAGATTTAGTTTAAGGTTTTACTATACACGCAGCAAGCTTCTTGGATTCTTGAAGACAGAGTGTAGACTTGAACAGGATTATGGGCAAGAACACAATCTGCCCCTTCAGGCATATCACTTTCACCCTGATCCAAGATAAACAACATGCTGAGAAAAAGGTTCTTCAGAGAGGAAGCTACTAAGACCCCTGAAAAGTCAGCTCTGCACATATGACATTCACCTGAATGTTCCTTTTAGCACCTGTCCAGCAGCTATTTCCTTGGACTGGTTGTTGTAACCAAAGAACATTTCCCCAAAGAGAGTCTGGTTCATGGAGACCTCTCTGCTTTCGGCACAGTCACCACCATCTGGGCAGGTCTCTGTGACAAGTTGGCAAGACCGTCCATCCACCCCAAGCCTGTAGTCTTCAATACACCTAATGGAGGCGAGAACTCAAGTTAAGCTGTTAGTGGATGAGTCATACGGGCAAATCATCAAATCAAATTGGGGAGCATTGTTGCTGGAGAAATGTTAGATGACCCCGAACTAGGAATAATCCAATTTGATGCGGGTCTCTTAAAAATTAGTTTTTTTCCATCTATAAATGGAGTCACTTTCCATCATGATCATATCAAATGTTTTACTTTCCCTTAGATGATAATTTGGACTCAGACTATCCACCTTTCCTAGCCCTCTGCATATAAGTGAGTTAACACACGGAAGTAGAAGGTATGCCAGCATTTTTCTCAAGAATATTCTGTGAGTGTTCGCATTTGTTTGTAGGGTAATTAGGCAGCAAAAGAGTGACAGTGTGCTTAAAAAATTAATAACTCTCTAATCTGGTCCTGTGGCAAGTCAACTAAGAAATGAGGAAGATTTATGATCTTCTCGCTGTGTTCTGTTTGAATACTTACAAACAAACCAGCCACTCACACAAACTCCCCTCCATCCAGCATTGACATCCTAAACTAAATAGATGCCAGGGCACAGTGTGAATACTATGTGCTCCATAAACCAACAATTGCCTCCTGGGCACTTTCCTCATTGTGTTGCTCTAATGGGAAAGTAATACTAATTTGGTAATCATGGGTCAGTGACTCATAAGTCATTAATTGGACTTTATTTGTAGTTATTTTATGAGTAAGATACTTTTGCTAACTCAAGTAAGACTTAATTCTTTAATAAGGTTGTCATTGTTTTTTTAAAAAGATTTCTTTCCCTGATTAAAAATAGAACAAATTTAAAATTGTAAGATGATTATGATACTGAACACATCAATTATCACTATCTGTAGTAACTGTGATAAGTTAAAAGCTTCAGTCCTTTATAGAGGAACAAAGGATCATAGTTTTAAAAAGTGAGACATAATGCTATAGCAACATGAATTCTGTCCTTAACTGTGTAACTCTGGACCAGCTGACGAAACTCCGGTGAGATTCCGTTTCCAAAACTGCAGGAAGGGTGTGAGGAGTAGCTGTTCTACTAGAGTGTTGAGGAAATTAATTCATATGTTGAATATATAGAACTTACACCACGCTGAATGTGGAGCTACTGCTGGCTGCATGCTGCTATTATTATTAGCGGAGGTGCAAACGAGGACCGTGGGCAAATAACCTTAACTGCTAATTCTCCCCGTTTCCATTTCCCATTTATACAGGGGTGTGAACAGGTGTGAATGGAGCATTTTAAGTGCAAGTGCAAGTGCATGTGATTTGCTCTCTGTGCAAGAACCTCAAATCAGAACGGACCTGTATGACTTATAGATAGTGCTTTGGGTAACACTAATCAACATGTGCCTATTTCCAATCAAAACCAGAAAGAAAGTCCAGTGAGAGGTCATGGCTTTTGTCCAGAGAATGGGTTTGATTCAAGACCCATAGAGGACTGCCTCCATGACTCGGAAGAGGTCTGGGACAGGACCTTGAATGACTCCTTCCTCTAGCCACATAAACCAGATCTGATTCTGTATCAGTCCATCTTGAACATCTTGACAACTGTCTGTCTTTCTGTCTGTCTGTCTTCATTTCTTATTTTTCTGTCAAAATATTGCACAGCAAACCTTTTCTTTCTCTTTTTTTGAGAGGGGAGACCCGGCTGGACATCCTGCTGTTCCCCTTGTATCTAACACCTAACTAGGTTCTCTGCACAAGCGGGTGCTGAAATGCATATACAGTTAAGAAAAAAGGATGTAACTTTGACTGAGTCTGCTTCCATTAATTGAAGTGGGTCACCCTTAATGGTCACATTATAGAGAACATTAAAATTTAGAGCAAGCTTCTATTTATGGAATGGGATTTTACAAGAAACTAAATACGAAAATTGCTCAATTGCAAAGAAATGAGATAAAATACAATAAAATAACATTACAAGTGCACTAGAAATCTTTTCATGGTTACTCAGCAGGCACCGGCTTTTAGTAAGCCCCTAACATAGTTTTATGACTATAAACATTGATTTTCATTGCAAGCTTATTAGATGGTGAGAGCCTTGAAGACACGAACTTAAATGCTACTTTCTTCGGCAGCTTTGTGGTCAGTGTGATGTGTGAACACCCCAACCGACTTGCAGCAACAGGGTAGGGTGGGAGAGTAGGGGGGCAGAAGCAGGGAGGGTGGAAAGGAAGCAAAAGATAGACAAGCAATCTACGGGCATAACAAAATTGGCTAACTCTTTATTTACTTGATAAATATAGCATGAAAATGGCTTTAAATATAATTTCACTCAGCGATACAAATTTAAATTTTGAGAAAACTGCAGAGCTTTTAAAAAGTCAGAAAGGGCCTGAATTCTGCTCCTAATCTTCCCGCTCACTAACTTTGCGGTCTCGAGGGAGATGGATCACCTCACTAATCCTTCCTTTTCTCACCTGGGAAACAGGGTGGTGTTGCCCAACCTGTTCTCTCACATGGTGGGAGAGAGCTGATCACGGGAAAAGCATTAAACTGAGAGAAACTCATTAATGACTTAGTGGAAGGAGGGAGGGCTATGCAAAATATGGGGACTTTGGAAACAGAACCTGAAGCTTCCATTTTTCTAAAAACATTCCTCCTTCCCTGCCTTGATAATCTGGTAGTTTCACATAGTCTTTCTCAAGTTTTGGACCGCGGGAACAGTTTCTGTCACAAAACACATCATTAACACAGTTCCTCAAAGGCAAAGCTTGGACGTCCTTGCTTAATTGGGCAAAGATATACGTAAACCATGTGGTTAATTGTTCCTTTCAGGTATGCCTCAGGGCCTAGGAGTGACCAGTCCATTCCCAAGGACCTACTGGGGTCGCAGCACTCACCCGCAGAACATGAGGATGTTGTACAAGGTGGGGTCATCTGGAAAAGGCGCCATCTGCTGGAGACACAGCTGTTCGCAGCCTCCGTTGAAACCATCTGAGCAGTCCACGCCGATGTGGCGGTCATAGCAGCCTGAGCTGTCCTTCATAGGGCTGAGTCCTGACGGGCACTGGCACAACCAGAAAGCATCCGCACAAGTGGATAAAACAGAAGACCTAAGCGCAGTCACTGACTCGCTCCATGTGGAACTATTACCCCTGGAAAAAAAAATCTATGGATTTCCTTTTGCCTTTTTGTCTCCTTTTAAAAGCAAAAGGCCTTTTATTTATTTATTTATTT